CCCCTGTTTTTGTTTGTTGAAAATTGAAATCTTGGTGTTAGTCTATTATTTCATTTGGTGCCTACACTAATTCCCCTCAGACTGTCTTGAGAGACTCAAGCAGGACCCAACCCTCCTTTCCAAGTCTATGCATAGAGTGATCAAAATTTGGAAATAAGTCGTCATCAAGGTATGACGCAGTATCACTTGGGGGCTGCTTTTAAGTGATGGCATTCTTAGATTTTGTTACCCTACTTTTATGCTATCAGAACTTCAAACAATGAGAAGAATGTGGCTTTGCTCATAGATAAACACTTCAGACAATGAACATCTGTTGTGTAATCATTAAGATCTTCATTTTTCTCTTACAAGATGTGGATTCAATCCCCATTAGGGGAAGATGTTTTAGGAAGCTAGGAAATTGTATACCACACCACGTAAGTTGGCTCTGGTGGACAAGGAGGAAGCGGGCCGCCTCTTTTATCACCTAACTAAAGTTATGTTGATGGGGGATGAAAACATTTAGAGTAACACTTGCAACAAATTGATACCTTTTATTTCTGTGTTCCCCCTAGGTCGTGACAATGTGACAAGGAACTCGTATCTGGTTTGTCGCATGTTCTGGTGCAATGACGCGGTACATTCCAACGTCTGCTGGGGCACCCTGGATCCTGAGTACAACTTCCTACAGGTCTGTTGTACTTATTCTACTTAATGTATCTCACTGCCTTCCTGTCCATTTGATGTGAATAACTGCACTTGTGAGTGCGGTTTGCTGTATTTCCTAAATAATTATTGGGGGGGGGTGAATTCAGAGGTCTTGTCTGATACATTGTGATCTGTCAAAATAATCGTCAGCTGTATCTTTTGTTTCACAGTAACTGATATGAAATCATGGAGCTTCGCTATAGTCTGTAGAAATGGGCTACTTTTCACTCTCTATTTTAGAGGGAAGGAGAAACGGAGGAGTCGGGGATTCTACATGAACGGTGCAGGTCACAGTGATAATGCCCATGAATAAAATGGCTTCGAGAAACTACATGTATTTTGGTCAAGGTTATCGACACAGTGAAGTCACAGTCAAATTCTTTTGTTTTCCCTCTTTGCCAGGTTGCACCAGTACTGATGACAAATTCGCTATTGGAGCGAATGCGTGACAACTACATGATTGTTGAGGTCTGGGATAAGAAGGTCTCCTCAGAGAATGACAAGGTAAAATTTTTGCTTTGAAAAATTTGTGTCAACTTGGATGTAACATAGCAAAACTTGTTCCTGTCCTTTCATTGTAGTGGGTGGTTAGGGGGTGTGGCTGGTAGGTGTTCTTTTATTCTTCCTCGTTCGATTCTGTTAATGGTATAAATGAACAAGCAACTTTTAAAATGTTGACAGCTGATGAGTATGATGAAGCTGTATCAACAACAGCAACGCTAAAATAATAACCACATCCATATCATCAGCAAGTTCATACAGATTCAGAAAAGCACGTAAATATTTTTCGTCTTGCCAGCTGATTGGCAATATGAAGCTGTAACAAGAACAAAAACAACTATGACGTCAAGGCAACAGCTAGGGCATGGAAGCTCAAATTGATAATTATTTTTTACAGTTTGATTGTTGACCAGCATTATGAAACTGTATCAACAACAACAACAACAACAACAACAACAACAACAGCAGCAAGCTAACAGAGCCAAAAAAAATTATTTTTTTAAACCATCTTGACTACTGATTTGACATAGTGGGGCTGGAACAAAGAACTCTAAAAGAACAAAAATAACAACAACAACAACAACAACAACAACAACAACAACAGCTTGGGCATGCTAGTTCTAAAAATAACAAATTTTAATAACTGTTTCTACTTCTTACCAGCTGATCGGCATGGTGAAACTGAGTCTTCACCAGTTCTACTTGTCCTTCCGGGAGCGCAAGATCGCCAATGCCCTGCTCAGGTCCCAGTATCCCGTGATGGCCGCCGACAACTACATGCCCATTGTGGACCTCTTTTCTGGACTTCATTTCGGACAGCTGAAAGTGGTCCTGGCCATGGGCTCTGAAGAGCAGGTGAGTGCGGACGAGGGTTTTTCTTAACATCATTTTCAACTCGGGGCACACTGAATGGCATGTTTCATATGTTCGCATTTGATTTGAGAAAGGGAAAAAAAGTGAACTGGTTTTTAATTTCTCTCTTGCTTTTGGAAAGGGAGGGAGGGGGTGGGGGGATTTTTTATCTCTTTGTATAAATACAAAAGGTTTTTTCTTTATTTATTTTGACTAGATGAGATGATGTTGAGTTGAGAGATCCGGTCTCTTAAGATAACAGCAGAATTAAATTGGGCATTAAACCTATACTATACCATATTGTGTATTTTAATCACATGTAAAATATTTCATAGTCCATATGTTCACCTTGTTTCAGATTTCTACTTTACAAAGACTAGCCCTGGACTCGTCAGGGCTGGAGCAAGTGCCTCAAAAGCCAACGTCTTATTTAGAGAGGCAAGACTTGCTCAACGGGGCTCCCACCCAGGCATCGGGCTCTGGAGGTCAGCCTAGCTTTAAAAAAAAATTTTGTTTTTGTTTTGCTTACTTTTTAGTTGTTTTGGTTTTGAATAAGATGATTTAAGATGTACAATTATTAATGCTGTATATCATGCAACCTAAGTTAAGCCTTACAGGCAGGGTTGAAGCACTATACCTTGTGAATGAATTGAAACTTGTCATTTTGATTTCATATCTTTGCACCTTGAAACAAACTTTTCATGTTTAAAAACTCAGAATAGGTGATTTCAGTGATTTAGTGAATAATATTGAAATTATAATGGATTCAGCTCCAATGACTACACAGTGCTGATCTGTCTTTTGAGTGAAGGCAGTGAAGGAGTCGGATGCACAACAAATGTGCAGGTTACTCTGAACAGTGTAAACCTGTACTACTGAAAATGTTTGTATCTGTTTTCTTAAGAGTATGTAGACAATGGCTGAGTTTGAAGGACAGAATAAGCTTTGGGTTGTTCTTTTTTTTCTCTTGATCTTCATGATTTATTTTGTTTATTTTGGAGGATGTGGACAAAAACTTGAGCTTGGACAATTTTGGAATAAGACTTGTTTTTTTTATCTTTATTTTTTTTCACCTCTCCAGTGGAGCATCAGTTTGAGGTGATCATCGAGGGTGTGCGAGGCCTGAAGCTGTTTGAGAGCATGATCTGGGGAGAGGCCGACTGCTTCGTGCAGTTCTTTTTCCCCACACAGGGAGAGTCTGGCCAGCAGGAAGGACCCATCTCCATCAAATGTAAGTGAATAATAATAATAGATAGCATTTGTATAGTGCAAATCCCCTCTAACAGCAAGCTCTATGCGCTTCACAATATATACTATTACCCCAGCAGACCTGAGAGCATTCTGAAGCCACCTCAACTTCCTTGGGAGCATACAGTGCAATCAGTCATTTATAGGTGCTAAAACACAAACATACTGACAAGGTCTTCCACTGTCTATGGCCGGGTACCCATTCCCACCTGGTTGAAGTGGGGAAAATTCGTGTAAAGTGCCTTTCCCAAGGACGTAACGTCGGGCCCGTGGCTGGAACCCCGAAACCGTAATCTCACGATTTTGAGTCCGGTATCCTAACCACTAGTGAACCATTTAGTGTTTGTATGGTTTTGTATTGAAAGATTTAGACTCATTAACGGTCATTTAGTGCCAAGAAAGAGTAAGAGAGATGGGCAGGAACACAGAAACAGCAACTCTCAGATATGTTTTAGTAAGAGTTTTATGGCATTTGCAACGCAATTAGGTCATATAAGTGCTGAAGATTAGAGGTGTTAAAAGAAAGAAGCAAACACGAAAAAAGAAAGAGGAGAGTTAAGGACGAGAGATGTTTGATGAGAAAGAAGGAGCAAAATGCATTGGAGCACCCGCCAACCAACCACGCACTTGATTAGACACTTGAGTTTAATGAAGGATTGGGTTCAGAGTTTGAATCTTGAGAGGAGCTTGCTTTAGTCTGTTATATTAACCCTTTGAAATTTGTTTGATTTTATTAGAGGGACCTAGACATGATAAAGGCTATTTAGTGCGAAGAATGAGCAGGACAGATAGACAGAAACATCGCTTGGTTGGAAATGTGAGGTATTTTTAGAAGTGGAACTGTTACTGTTTTTTAAGTGCTTTTCGGGTCCGCACCATTCCTTTTAAAACACAAAGCAGGTCGTTTACTGGCAAATTTTCTGAACTACTTCATGAATGACCTGCCTTGTGTTTTAAAAAGTGGTGTTGTAATACTTTCATCTTAAGTTGTTATAGTTTTATATCCCCCCCCCTCTTCTACACACACACACACACACGCACACGCACACGCACACGCACACGCAGACACACATACATACATATATACGTGCGCGCACACACACACA